TGCGTACCGCAGGCGGTTGCCTTGACCTCACGTAAAATTCCGAAGTATTTACCCTGTTACTCAAATTTTGGGTCAATTCACTACCAGTGATAGTCGCATGGTAAATGTTTATGCCATGCTTGAATCTCTTGCAAATATCTTTCTCTAGAATGCGACATTGCTGAAACTCGCTGATCGTAGTGGACCATTTCTCACATGATGTTGCGTATTTCTCCCACCCTGTGCCGGTGCAATTGCGTACCGCAAGCGACTACAGTACTCCCACGCCTAGTTCTACAGCCGTTGACATTTGTAACTGATGATCACAGGCGGGTGTCGTGATGAAAGGAAATGGGAAGACTAATCAATTCATAACTAGCACAGCTCCGAGTATTGTACTGAGTTCAGCCATACATTCCTCTTTTAGGATAGGTGACGGGGAAATGCTCTACATATCGTTGGAACACCATGTGCGTGCCTGGAATCCACTCTGATTCCTTATGTCATTTACTTCGTAACATGTAAGCATAGTGTAAAGTGCTGGCGTATTTATAAGAAGTTATGAATTTTCCTGGGTCACTCCGCCCACTTTGGCCATGCTCCGCCCACTAATGGTATTTAAGTTCCACTCCTCCACCCACCTCTGCCCACCTTTTTCTGTGCCTTCGGGACTTCTTGGAGCCAAGCTATGAATTTCCGTTGCAAACTCCGCTCACTTTAGTCAAGCCACGCCCACCGATGAATACTGGTCTCCACTTCTCCTCCCACCTCCATCCACCTGTTTCGCGGCCTCCGGGACTTGTTGGAGCCGAGTTTCGAACTTACGTCGCAGACTCCGCCCACTTTGGCCAAGCCCCGCCCACCGACGACAGTTAACCCCCACTCCACCCACCTTTATCCACTTTTTTTCCGGCCTCCGGGACTTGTTGGAACCGAGTTTGATATTTTCGTCGCAAATTCCGCCCACTTTGAGCAAGCCCCGCCCACCGATGACAGCTGGCCTCCACTCCTACGCCCACCTCTATCCACCTTTTTCCGGCTCTTTAACCCATAACGGACGGCGTGCGCCACAAGGTGGCGCACGACTATTCCATTTGTTTTTGGAATGTTTCTTGCAATCTTAATATACCCATATATACTCTCAGCAATGTGGAATAACATATCTTCCCAGGACCTAAACGGCTGGATTTTTGGGAAACCTACAATAAATTTTACATACATTTTGTCTTAATTGACATAAGTTTATTATTTGATGAGTGGCTTACCCATGGTTCGCACGTCCCGAGACCCCTTCCCCTAAATATAGCCACATCCTTGCTCGGGGTTGTTGTTTCGCATTTTTCGATAATGTCACCCACAGATTCCATTCATTCTTTGCACCCTAGTTTTAGAGCGGAAAGGCGGGTTACGAACTTGTCGTCAACGGGAATCTCTTCTTTTGGATGGTGAGAAACGGACACCTACTTTAGCCCCGTCATACCCCTGCTGTTCACATAAGCCTACATAAACCCTACCCTGGGTGGCGGCGTGCGCCACATGGTGGCGCACGCAACAAATACACTGGCCGTCCGTTATGGGTTAAGCAGCTTCCACGCCGACGCCGTTTGAGGGGGTAGAAAATGCGTACACTCGACGAGCGCGCCGCCCATTCTGGTCGTGGGCCTCCGCACGTCACTATATGCAGGAAACACCGTAGACGATTTGCTCCCTGACCACCAAGGTTTCTGTTCTGAATAGGCTTCCTCTTAACGGAGTTTAATTTTCATAAAGCACTGCTTATTTTTTAGAGAAACGCATCCGCCCAGGTGGGGTCCTCCCTAATTCAGATGTGAACTCACCAAATGCTTACCTCTAACCCACTATTTTCCCCAGGTTCGAACTCGGTCCGTTTGTCACTAAATCGAAAAACTCTTGACGTCGTTTCGGTACACTGTCACTCTTCGACGTCACGCCACGCGCCTCTGTTGGCGACGGGGCTCCTTGCTGTTATGTGTGTTTTGTATTACGTGAGAGCCCACTGGCCACCTCCATCCCACACCTTCGACCCCGGTCCCTCCAGGTGGATCCGAGGAGCTAAGGAATTTCGTGACATACATACAGAACGAGACGACAGACACAGAAGCGCATTCTATACTCTATAGCTACCACCGCCTAGCGGTAGCTTCAGCACATAGAGACAGTCATTGATGCCATTATGACCGACATTGCTGCGTGCAATGAGGGGATTCGAGGGGACGAAGATTGGTATCGGCGGAGAAGAGTAGAGAGAGAGTTCTAATTCGTGCAGATAGTTTTCATCTTATGAACTGCTTAGTAGTACCTCTTCACGGCACGACGTCCACCCGCAGTCTATCTGCGAGTTGTTGGGTATGATCTCATTAGCACTTGTTAAAACTGCCTCGCATAATTATAAAGCCACTATGTTTCTGCAAAAATTTTTTCTAATGGATACGCTTCGAGAAAGCGTTTATATGATGAAAGAAATGTAGGTATGAATGTATCTGTTTGCACACCAGCACGAGGTTCCAAGCTTTGAAATTTGAAAAGTGTTGTTTCTGCAATTTTTCGAAAACGCCGCCTCTGACCTTATTCCAGCCATCAATTAGTAAAGTCACCCATACTTTCGGCGTTGCCTTCCTTCGCTGCTCAATTGAATCTTTTTTTGTTGTTATCCACGACTTTCGTCTTTAGATGAACAAACGGAGAGGGAAACCTGTCACCATAATTCTAGAATAAAGGGAATCCTAACAAAATCGTGAAAAAAGAGGTTGTAGAGGCAGTCGCATCAGCCCATTTATGGGCCAGCGTTCGTTTCATAGAAAAACAATTTCTTCACAGTAGTGTTAGGAGATATGGAGTAAGAAGTTGAGCCTCGCGGAATCGGTCCTTTGCGTTCGGAATCAGAGTTCACGTCCGTCTCTGAGAAAACCAAACAGTGCATCAAGTTGTGCTCGAAAATCAAACCTGGAATATTCATCTGGAATTTAATTCTCCACTCCGGGTGTCTGTTTCACGTCCTGTGGCAGAACTGCAGGTTCATTCGCGCATGAGACAATCGTAGAAGGCGAATTGTTTATGACAACAAAACATGTTCAAAAAGTGAGCACAGTTCTTGTCAGATGAAGCGCAGACCTGATGGTGGGAGTGAGGGCGGTTTTTTACCTGTCATTTCTCACGTCACGTGCTTTTCCAACAGCTTCTTTATCTCCAGGTATACCCTTCGCCATGAGAAGAAGGTTATCTAGAGTAAGAGAAAATGTTTTGAGAAAGGAAGACAAGGCAGCCGTAAGAAATGCACAGGTAAGAACCGCCCTTCACTCTCATCAGGTCGGCTTTACTTCTTGACAAACTGTCCTCACTTTTTTGAAATGTTTGTTGTATAAAAAGCGCTTTACGATTTTCTCAATCCTGCGAATGAACTGCAGGTCTGCCAAAGACGCTGACAGACACGGTATTGGGAGAAATTGAATTCCAAGGCAAGCCGTTGAATTTCGCAGCACAACATGATGCACTGTTTGGTTTTCTCATTGAGACGACGCTGTATCTGAATCCCGAAGCAAGGACGATCTCGAGGCTTCAATTTTACCTCCATATCCTACACTCATGCTCGAAAGAATTTTGTTTTTCTCTGAACCGAACTGGCCACCGAATTTGCGGCTTGTGCGACTGCCTCTCAACTTTTCACGATTTTTTGTCTAGGGATCTTCCCCTTTATTCAGTTATACGGTGACGGGTTTCTTCTCTCGTTTTTCACTAAAGACGAAAGTGTGGATAACAGGCAAAAATTCAATGGCAGGAAGGAAGGCAAGGAGAAAGTATTGGGGTGGCTTTCATAATTATGCGGATTAGGGTCAGAGAGCGGCGTTTCGAAAAATTGCAGAAAAAACACTTCAAATTTCAAAGCTGACTCTGCTGCCAGTGTGCCCAAAAGAAAATTTATTACAACATCCTTTTCCATACAGAAGCTGCCTCAACGATCTTACGGAAAAAAAGTTTTTGCACTAAACATAGGTGGCTTTTAATTTATGGGGAGCAGTGTATTCACATCAGATTATAGAAATGCTGACGCCGGTATCCTTTGTGGATGACTCGTTGCCTGAAAGTGAGATGCGCCAATACTTGTAGCATGATAGGCCACTGTATTATGTTTCTTTCTTTTCGTTATACGATAAGATGTCTCGTAGAATGTATCCAGTTATTGGATTGGAATGTGATTCCGCTTACAGGAGCGTTTGCGATTACTGTGCCGACATTAATTTCTATGAGGCGCCAGTTTACATCAAAAGGCAACATTCCACGTTCCGACTGCGTCTTTGGGAGAGGAGGATAAACTTTAAGGGTAATGAAGTAGTGCTTTACACATCCCCTACCGGTTTTCTCTAGTCTTGGAAGACTAGTTAAGATGGGACAGGAGGGGGAATGAGGAGCATGTTTGCTGCGCTTATTCGCTTCAACGTTGGGTGGGATTTTTACTGCCTGAAGCACCGATATGATGAATAGCAGCCTCCTCAGTATATTGTGAGCAAAAGCTTAATATTGCGCTAATCGGTGGGAAAACTGTCTCTACTGATTTCATGATTTTAATGATTTTGCATGAAAGTCTGAGGTGCTTAAACTTAGTTGGGGGGGGGGCCGCGGCGGCGCTGGCACGTCTTGCTCGCTGCATCTTCGGAATCCGTGGGCCAGGGGGGGAGTGTAGCCAGGTCTAGGGGGTGGGTGAGGGCAGATTATGTTGACATGCGTTTGAAAAGCTGGAATGTCGAGTTTTTAAACGTCTTCTTCGAGCATAGAGTCCAGGTGATAGGCCAAGCTGCGCGCCGCCGCACGTGGCCCCCCAACCACGTCAGACATATAAATCATCTAGTCTTATTATCTCCTCTCATCACGAGTTCTACCCGCAGTCATTCAGTCGAAAACAGGGTGCCAACGATAGCGGAACTAGCCGGTAGAGTACTGTAATCGCTTGCTGTACGCAATCGCACGGGCGCAGGGTGGGGTAAATGCGTGACATCCTCTCTCACATGTGTTCATTCGATACGAAAAAACGACGGCTAAGTTTTCAGGAGAGGTCATCTTCTACCGCAACAGCCCCGCTCGGTCTACGCCCAGGTTTCACGGGCAACAACAATCACACTAAAAACGGTCAAGGAAGTCCACTGGATTCCCTTAAGGTTAACATTCAGTTTTTTTTCTTCCTATGTCCCTGCTCTATTCTGGTTCCATTTGTGAATCTTCATTTATTATATTTATTTATTATCCATCCAGCATCAGCGGCAAACAAAACAGATATTAATTTTTTTCTACTTTTTTTCGGTTTATTTTTGGTTGTCATCGTCATCTTGCTGAATGGTATTTTTCTCGATTTGATGTTTCGATGCATGCCCGCGTTCCTCTCAAATTATTTTTGTTTTTTTTGGCTATAATTTTTGAGCTTGCCACTTTCCCCACTGGCTGTTTTTTTTTCGATTTTGGTTTTTGAAATTGCTTCTTCTTTGACATTTGTTATTGCATAAAATACAATCACAATGGAGGATGCCCAAAGAAATTTCTCTCGTTACCTTCGAAACTGAACTAATTTCACGCTGAACTCAAACCCGGTGCTTTCAACTGATACTTGTTGAGCACGGGGGACTAGTGATTCTCCCATGGAATATAATGCAAGGTTTGAGCTCCAGGCCTTCTTGAGCTTGACGGCGATATATGACTTCGTAGTCGATCGCCATGAGGGCAGGGACTAAGAACTTGCTTCTGCTTGCGGGTTTCATTTGGGAATATATGTTACCGTAAGATCCCATCAACGGTGGCACCTTGCGCTACTACGCTCGATGTGCGCCTTGAACAATTTTTTTGCTCTCCTCCCCCATGTATTTGCACCTTTACTAAATATTTTCTAGTTTACAGATTACCGATTTTAAGTCTACTGCTTTTACCTCAGCACTGTTACATTTTCCATAAAAAAGATACGTTTACTATACTTGCAAATGTTCTGAGCTTTTATATTTTAGATTGGCGGTATGAGTTCAAGAGCAGTGGTGAAATTTTCCTATGATCCTCGACTGGAAGACGAGATGAAGTTAACACGAGGCGAAACTATAACAGTGATTGATAAGAGCAGCGACGGATGGTGGAAAGGAGAGGTGCGCTCTTGTTTATTCGCAATGGTTTCATTTTCAGATACAACTCTGTTAACGATTCTTTGGTCTCATCCAGTGAGGGGGAGTAGTGCGACAGTTGTTGCCACCTGCGGAATTCCAATTTCGCAGGGGTGGGAAATTTCTGGGGTGCGTGAATTATTTCGGTTCCGATTTCACACTCACCGCGAAGCTTCCTTCTTTTGCGATCATTGGATTACTCCAGCGATATGAACCTTATGCACGCCCTTACTGGGACCCCTAAGTTTTATGAAATAGTGTAACAACCATTTGGATCTATCAGAACAAGCGAGGGAGCATTTTGGCGCAGAGATTCCAACGCATTTAAATTTCGTAGAACGTCTCCGTTTATTATAAATATTCAGAAGAAGTAAAATCACCCAGTACCCTTTTTGCACAAGAGAACCGAATGCTTCATCCCACTTGGAGCTCCTTTGCCTTCCGAAAATTGAGATCACCCTAATCCACACAATACACAAAGTGCGATTCCCAAACTATTCATATAGATCCACTCACTCAATTTTGAGCACAAGCACATTGGTGACGTTGTTAGCTCATTTTTCTTATTATTTTTATTCAGAGCGACGGTCGTTGTGGCTGGTTTCCGTCGAATTACGTGGAAGAAGTTGCCGATCAGCTTCATCCGGGAGCTAATGGAAGTGATGGGTCGAACGGTTGTACTGTTGTTGTTGGACGCTCTCCAATATCAGTCATTTCTTCTCCCGCTCCTTCAACTCAGGCTAGCTCTGTGCTGGAGGTGGTTCTCTCATTATTTGCCCTTCTTAGTTCTTCTGGTTTAATTATCTTTCAGTGTGTTGTCGCCCTTTATTCTTTCGATGCTTCAACGACAGAGGAGTTGTCCTTCAGAAAAGGTTTTTTTTTCTTTCACGACCCATACAGTTCCACGCCTTATAATGGTCACTGTATGTGGCAAAAGATATGTTAACTGCATGTTTTATTTACTTTGATCTTACATATTTGCATACAGGAGAGCGTCTGGATATTATTGATCATCCGGCTCATGATCCGGATTGGTGGTTGGCATGTAACTCAGTTGGTCAACAAGGTCTTGTCCCTAAGAATTACATCGAGGTATGTAACCGATCTCCTCGCCATCCCTTTCCATTCTCAAACCGTTTTAATGCTGTGCTATGAACATTCGCCTTGCTACAAGGCGATTTTAAGCCGCACCGAGGCTTCACATTTAATTATCGTCTTAAGTTGTTCTGAAGTGTCATAGATCTTATTGTTAGCTGTTTTCTGTTTTCATATTGTTTCCATTTCTGTTTATGTTAAGGACCAGCTTAAGTAGCTTTAGTCTTAGGGCTAGCCTCTAAGCAGAACATTATCGACACTGCTAGTACGGGTTGGAAACCCAGGGTTGGTAAATATAATAGCTGCAAAAATGGAATGTGGAAGAAAACTTCAGCACCTCGCCGACAGCACAAATTTGCCTTTCTTGCCTCGCATCTTTTTGTTAACTTGACCGCTTCAATTCGATTCGAATCACATTGCCTCTCAAAACGTGCTTCTGGAGCTCGATACCGAATTGAACTTGTAAAAATGTTCCTTAATCTATGCATAATCTGGGGTACGAGTTGTGAGGTAACAGAATAGCTGTTGTCTCTGTTGACAAGTTTACGGTGTCAGGTTTTGGAAATGAGAAACGGCACTACATTTTCACTGAGGCTGAGGCGATAGTTGGAGGAGCCAGCGGTCCACCCAATCAGGGGTAAATACACTTCAATACAAAAAGTAGGCCTCACCTAATCTCACTTTTTCTCTGTTTCGATATTCGATGAACTAGTACGGATCCCCTCGTAGCTAATACATCTGAAGCCGAGTTGGGTTAGCTGGTGAAAGATACTAGAAAAACATGGTAGCCCACCGAGAGTGTGAATTTCACTCCACTGAAGGTTACTTGCTGAGATATTTTGCATGCAGAGCAAGAGCACGAGTTTTTGTTTTGATAACTTCTTGAAGCTTATGGGCTTATGAACACTCCATCTGATATTATTATCGCTTTAACTTTGTGCTCAGATATCTATATTTCCTGCATTTCTTCTTTTTCAATTTGTTTGTAGAGTGTTACTCTGAGGTCGATTGAGAATATATACTCGTTACTCAGCACGAAATATTCTGCATGTGAAAAAGTCTTAAGCATCTATAACGAGCTTGTGCTGGAGATTATACAGAGGATTGCATCACTGTCTCCAGTTATGTCTCGAAAATTTTTTCATTACAGATTGTTTCTGCTGGAAAAACATCAACTGGAGGACACATGGAGGGAGAGCCATGGTTTTTCGGTCGGATTAGTCGTGACGAAGCTGATCGCTTACTAGCTAATGGAAGGGAAGGCGAATTCCTTGTGAGGGATAGCGAAAGTAATGTAAGATTTACATATAGTTTGGTTAGTTTTCGATACTATTTTAAAGCTCCACTTGTTTCTGTACAGCTTTTGGAGGATTCCACCATAAGGAAGGTTGAGTTTTCATTGGAGAGATAGACTGATTTTCGCGGGGTGCGGACGGGCGCGCAATTCGCAGCGAAGGATATGCCCCGGCGATTTAGCATGGCCTTCTCTGCGGCCCTATCAGTGCGCTATCAACCCGGTACGCCACCCCTCTTGCGCCATCTCGTGTCTGAGTCTCTAGCCCTTTATCAGAGCGAGCATCCGTGTTTGAGAGGGCAGCACCGATGAGAGTGAGAATCAACGGGAAATGAGGGACTGCATTTCTCGGGACCTAGGCCTTTTTTCGATTTGTTTTTCTTTCGTGGATCATTGATCATCTCTAATTCCATCTCTAATTCGGTTTTCAATGAGCTGCCTTTTCATCGTAGAATCCCAATCCACCTATAATTCATTATTTGTGACATACCGTTATGATCTAGATCAGTTCTGTACGGCGTCCAACTTCAGTTTTGCCGTTTCCAACTGACTCTTAACTGCTATGAGAAAATAGAAGGCCCACTCCGGCCAAAATTTCATCTATGATAAAGTCTATCAAGAAAACGCTCAGCTTTGTTGTGCTGAGAAAATAAAATATCAGAAAATGTTCTGAGAGGAATTTCACAATTGCGATCCAATCTAATTTCTCCTACAATGTTTATCCGCGAAGTAATGCCACATGTTTCATTGTTAATTTTTATTTGGAATGTTTTCAAAGAGTTCCCTGCGGTGAAAATGTAGTTTGGGGGGCACCCATATTTCATCAAGTGGAGTTGTGGGAAGGCTTTTATATCTAACCGAGGAGAGTCGGGGAAAGGCACTGATTCTTTATCGAGCACCAGGCAGCACCGCTCGCTATCGCGCGCTCCATTCTACCGTTGACGTTTTCGGAATGTCCCCTCCCCTTCCGCATGAGTCACCCCCATCACCTTAGCCTAACGCTCGCTAACGCGGTTCTCCCACAGCGCGCACTCCCTCGCCCTTACCTCCAACCCCGACTTTCTCCCGTCGCATGCTCTCTCGCACCATCTGGTGCTTGCTCTCTCGCACTGCACTGCTCCCTCGAACAGCATAGCCCGCGCCCCCTCTCGCGTTGCGTGCTACCTAGCTGCCGTGACAGACACACACACAGACAGAACGCCACTTATATATAGTAGGATAGTCATATCTTTCACTGAGACGGTGGCGTGCGACCTCTATGTTACCCTTGTTACCCTTGTCATGCAAAAATAGTTGTTACCCTGCTAACGCTTCACTTTCACTGAATCTTCTTGCGATCGCCGTGCAAGCCGTCAAAGAAAGGGCCTTCCAGGTATCCGATTTTGTATGAAATTTTGGCCTGGTATCCCTAGCTAATCGTACACTAATAGGCTACACTCTGAATGCTGAGATATGAGTGCCCTTCCGTAGCTCCGCTTTGATTAGATGTTGTCACTTCGATTAGATATTATGAGTGCATCCCCCCCCCCTCAGAACAGCATTTTTACCATTCTCTGCTAAGGTGTGAGATGTCGGTCAGACTCGGCTATTGCAACGCGATGGACCAGCGACGGAGCGCCGCGATCGCTCCATCGCTTTTGCATCGCGTTCCAATAGCCGAGTCTGACCGACATCTCTTTGGGATACTCTGCGCATCTTACAGGTTATTCCATAATTACTGTAACACATTTTGAGCTTCAATTGTGTGTGTCTAGTCTTTTTTCCGAAGTCGGCAAACCTTGACCTCCTATGACCTCTCGTGGATAACCTTGTCAAGGTGCACGGTATAGCATTCGTTGTACATCCCATGATGCACCTAAAGCTCATTAGAGGTCTTAACCTCTCACACAGCTAGGCCAGACATCCGGTGATGAGCATCGCGCTTCTTTGGACTTTCAACCGCTCCGCGGCCTACCGTCACTTAACAGAAGAACAATGAAAGTAGTCTTTGTTGTAGCCGCTCCACAAGTTCTGAGATCTTGGATCTCAGGAATACAAGAAGAAGCGAAACGACTGCAATACCCGGGTTGGCTCGAGAAAGGTGACCAGAACGCTGGATTTTCTGAACACGGCCATATAAAGAGTGGGCGGATAACAACTGCTCACAGTCCATTGCAAGTTGCTTAAGCACCTCTGCTCAATCCAACGGGAGGAGCACAGCAGTGACAAAAAGTTCGAAGAGCTGGTGTCAAGGGCCGAAAATAGCGATTACGTGAGTACATTTTCATCGACGACAAAATTCCTCATATGAAGCGGAGCTACAATCTTCGAACTCTGAGGATGCCCGCACGAGGGGCTGTGGAAGCCAATCAGAGTGGAAGGAGTGTTCGTCATAAGCAGCAGCCAATCTTATCACGATTTGGGCAAGGGTCTCAGTCATTGGTCGCTCACCACATCTGTCTGTTGAAAAGCGAATAAAATTCGATACAGACCTAGCTAACGAATGCTTCAGTGCACCATTTGTCGCCAAGGTGTCTAGCCGCTCTTAGTTGACGTTCTTTTCCAAGGGAACCAGTTCCCGCACGAGGGACAAAAATTGTCTAGGACTGGTCTCACGATATTGTTCTCAATTTCATATCAAGCAAATGGCTCTTAAATCTCTCGAATTCAACCTGCTGGGCCATCCTATTTGGGCCATATTAAGGGACTGAGCCTGCACTAAACAGTGCTTCCAATTAGAGCAGTCGGAGCCTTTTCTCTATGTTGTAGACGTTGTCGTTGACGGCCGAAGAACGCCAGGAGACGAGTAGACTTATTGAACAACAGAACTAAACTGACAGCATAAAAACTTCTGAGTACCGGTATGACATGCCTACGTACAACACATGGGTTTGCTAGACTAAGATATTAATTACGATAGATCAATAACACCCCACAACACTCTAGAAATTTTCAACGAAGGCATTCCAGGATGCCATGCGGGAAACACCAGAGTTGTGCTCGAAGCAACTGGAAGCTATATTCACAGCGACAGGTAGACTTATCGAATAAATGTAATTCCTTTTGATATCTTAAGGACGAACTAAGATTATTGTGTGACCACCTGGTGACACGTCCACTTCGAGAGAAATTACAAAATTAAAAAACGGAACGGGGGAAATTAAAAAACGTGTTATAGTATTTATGGAACACCCTGTATTTCCATTCAAAATTGTAATGACATTTGAATGCGATATGGAGTGTACATTGACTTGCGGTGGTTGGCCAGTGTACATGCCAGTATTCTTACCCACCCAGAAATGTCTGGTAACTGTTGACCGACCCCATAGGGATGGAAGGCCTGGTTAGGAGACTACCCTGGACCGTTTTCGTGCAAAGTGGTGCCACTTGCCACTTAACCACCTCTGCTCTTCTAGTTATTATAGAATAAAGAAAAACATCCGAAAAGCTGCTCTTGGTCGTACCTCTAGTGCTTGCTTTAGAGATTTTTCTTTTTCTCCCATTTTTCTCAGCCGCTGCTCTTCACCTATACTTGTCCATTGGTCATAGCGCTGCTTACTGTTTGCTCTCCAGTTTACTTTCATTCTCACGTAAAGTTTGTTGTCCACTTCGTTTTCGCTCTATAAGTTTCACTACTTTTTTTTCTCCAATCCTTCAATCACCTCTCTATCGATTGGTTGTCGTTTTTACTCACCCTCTTTGACAGTTTACTTTCAAATTTTTTGACTTTTACTGCCTTGTATGTATTGATTTGAAGAGTTATTTGCGTAATTTCAGCCAGGCGATCTTTCAATTTCGATGCGTGGGGTGGAACGAAACAAGCATTTCAAAGTGCAGACCATTGGTGGCCAACTTCACATTGGCTCACGGGTTTTCCCGTCCATGACGTCACTCATCCAACACTACACTGCTAATCCGATTTTCTCATCAGGTTCGGAGAAGCTCTATTTGACACGACCACTTGCCAAGTAAAGTTTTATACATTTTTCTATCGTTTCAATAGAATTGACTTTCATTGTTTATGTGTTCCCTATTTCTCCCTGCCTAGTGTTATGTAATGAATCTGGAAATTTTGTACTTTCTTATGATAGTTGAACCAATTCGGCGCAGAAACTCCTAATTGATCCTTGATCTTTCTTGAGAGTTATTTTTCTTATTGTGGGAGAATCCTTTATAGCTTCCGAGGTTCGTTGCCTAGTTGAGGTTCCATCTCGGTTTTCGGACTTGGAACGTTCTCGACAAGCTGGAAAGGGATCATAATTGTATAGAAGCCTTATCTGGATTTTCCTGAACCAGAACCACCAAATAAAATTTATCAGTCGCCGTACTACTTAAGTCACGCTTGCCGACCCTCTCAAGGTAGAAGATTCGAATGGAGTGAAATATGCCCGTTCGTTCCGTACTTCAGGATAATTGAGCGTTTTCCATTGTGAAAGTGTCATGTATGGCATTGGAAACCATGATCAAAGTAAAGCTTCGTTCTCCAACGGGTCAAAAATTCCACCCTTTTTCGGATTTCACCACCCTCTGCATTGGCGTGAGTGTTTTCCAAATAATGCTTATCGGTCCTCATGACAATGTCCTACTATGACAACGTTCTCATTAGACCAGGAAAGAGGGTGAGATGTGTCTCCTTCTGTTTCACAAACTGAGATTAAACTGAAGGCAAACCCTGTTAAGTAACAGACAGAAGCGAGAGTGGCTTAGTGGCGCTCATTTGAATTCGAATCATAGCTTGTTTCCTCTTGCGCTGTTGCGACTGTCAAATACCTGGCGAGTTATAACTATCTGCTTTTCCGGTGATGAGTTCATGCCTTTTGACGTTCTTTATTTATTTATTTATTTAATATGCACTCGAGGCGCACCATAGGCAACAACCAGAAAAACAAACCGAACCGTGTCAGGATAACTATAACAACAACAAAAAAAACAAACAGTACACCCTCAACATAGGCTGTCGTGGGATGACCAGTAAATAATATTGAGCAGGGCAAAGGGAAGAATTAGCTGAACAAAGAAGGAACAGCCCGATCTCATGAGGAACCGAGGAACAGAGACTATGGATAGAAACTATAAAGACAGAAATAAACCGCGCGGCTTAGTGGCGCTCATTTGAATTCGAATCATAGCTTGTTTTCACCTGCGCTGTTGCGACTGTCAAGTACCTGGCGAGTTATAACTATCTGCTTTTCCGGTGATGAGTTCATGCCTTTTGACGTTCTGAAACAAATGCCTCGAAAAGATGTAATATGGACCTGTTTGTAGAAGCTGCTCGTTATTAAGAATCCTATTTGCGGATTTTTAATCCTTGTTAACGCAAAATTCTTGTTTTTGTTTTCGTTATTGTAACCTGGTTTTTTGGTTCCTTGCCTCAAATAGGCGTCAACGTTCTTAGGAGCGGTACAGTGCATCCTCCCCCTTATCTTACTAGAGATGTAATGTGGAACGAATTGGCCTCATTTTTAGACGTATACCGTGAGCACTTAGTTCAAATTTCAACGTTTCCTATATATATGTTAATATATGGGACATATATGTTACATATATATGTATACTGTATATACATATGTTATATATATATGCATATATATAATTACATATTATATTATATGTATATACATTGTATATCAAATGTTATATATATATGTATATATATATATATATATATTATATAAATATATATATATATATATATATATATATATATATATATGTACCTGTAGATTGCATAAGTGAGGTGTATAAGTTTTTCCCACGCTTTTGTACGTAATGGGGAAGAGCTCCGGATCAACGAGGTCTACCGGTGCAGTGGTAGGGTGGTGGCTTCACGACCAATGGCGACCTCCCCTTCAGCAATTTCGATTCCAAATTTCAATCGGGTATTGCGTCTTAATCGTTCTGCGCCTCGTCTTGTAGTTTGGATGATATGTTCGTGTTGCTTATTGTTGGGTAATACACTGGTGTGCAAAACTTAAGTAAGGACGTACTTTTCCCATGACGTGTGCTGGCGAGTAACATAACTATAACCTAGCCACGTATATTACAGAAAGAACTGCTAGTGCAGCACAGGTGGCAGTTGATAGGAACCTTAAATGGTCCATAAAGCTATCAGTAAGCTTAATTCATCTATCTCGTCCTTAAGTTTTGCACACCAGTGTATGCGTCGTGTTACGTATTGTACACAGATCTCGCAACATCTGAGTGAGGGCCGTGTCCAAAAGCGCGTTTTAGACAGATATGTCATTGAATGTGGCTTCATCGGCCTAGTTTCCTAGTTGGCTTACACTCGTGTTGCATCTGGTTTCGTCCCCCTGTCATCGTGCTACAATGATAACACTCACCGAGCTTTTTCGTGTAACGCTTTTGCTTCTCACCGAACCAGTATACAGCCGATCCACTTGAAAATCAGTATTGGTATGATGGTATATTTGTTAAGCCTGACATGGAGTACTCATTGAGTGGCCCAAGTACTCCTATGTTTTCGATGCTTGGGTAAAGGTATTTCTCCGATTATATGTGATAATTCTGTGAAGTAGGGCTGGGGTCAGAGTCCGCGATCCGTCGCTGGTTTGGCGCGAACCGCAGAAAGCGCAAATGCTCCATTTGAACATTTAAAACACTGATATGAAGTAAGTAGAATCATGAACAGTTGTCATTCAGCCATCACCATCAAGCAAAAATAGCTGCGGGGTTGGAGCGCATAAGGTATTGATCGGACACTCGTGATTTCTGTGGTCCGTCGCGCGAATCGCGCGAAACCTGCGACGGATCGCGGACTCTGACACCAACGTAAGAAGGCGGCGAGCAGCTTGTTTTGCACTGGTGCAGGTTTTCTAACCCCAGTGTTTTCTTTCCAGCGTTGTAAGCAGTTTTTCTTGGAAGAGAGCGTGTCAGTCAGGAGGGTCATTGTGCGACGACGTGGCACCATAATTAGCTTTGCGCCAGGTATTTGCTGACGTTGAAAGTACCTATTCCTGCCAAACTCTCAGTCATCCAATATTGAGTATACAAAATGCTGTGATTGTGTGTAGGTGAACAAGTACCTAAAGCTCGAAATATGCGAAAGGAATTAATCAGATAACCATTTCCTGAACTCTTGCCTTGAAAAGGCGTTACACTTCGTATGCTACCATCATCACTTGTCTCGACCCTTGAAAGCTGCGTTGAGCTCACAGACTCGACAGAATTCTCCCTGCGCCCTCCCTCTTCCGCCACGAAGTAGACTCTTTCGAGTGACACCCAACGGGTATCGGTCATGGCTACGTCGTTGGCTATTTTCGGCCATGAATTTTTTCATTCATTTATGTGGGTCCAGTAGTTATTCTGTTATTGTGGTGAACATTTCTTGTTTGTCTCGTTTCCCAGCTCAACATTGTTTACTTATTTGCTACAACAAATCAACTGAAGTATTCTCCAGCTTATCATCTGACACCTCGACATCTCGGTAACTCTCATGCGTAAGTAACCTCGGTAACTGTAGTGTCTGATGACGTGCAGCCATCTATTCCCTACATTTATTAGACTGCTTCTTTCATGACTATTTGCGTGTGTTGCTGTTTTTCATTAAATTCACTTGTATGTTCTTGAATTTGAGTTATTGGTGAAGGATTTGATGTGCTTAAGAATATTCTGCTCACCTCGCAAGCTTCTTCTTCTTTTCTTTCGGCGAGTTTCGCTGTGTCTTCTCTGAGTTTGATGTTTGTAATTTTTCTGTTCATTGGATCTATTTGTGTGTGTGTGTGCCATCTACATAGCTCTGTTTTTATGTTATTTTTGTTGAATGACATGAAGTTATGCATTTGCGTTGCGTAAGAATAAAGGGATAAAGCATTTCTTGCTGACTCGTCTCTTGGGATATGCCACGCATTGCTTTTTCATTTACGATCGTGGTGGCTCTCGTATGCGATTTGGGTTTCACTTCATGCGCGACAGGGTGAATATCGGTCGAGGAAATCCTCGACAGGGGGATCGTACCTGTCGGGCTGGGTCATAGGGGGGTCGTACTCTTGGGGTCAGTAAGAGCAGTGCTATCGTGGTGCAGATAGATTAAGAGGGTATAGCGCAGCAGAAAATGAAAATAATCTAGAAAAAACATGATATTAAATTTTCTTTGCAGGTTCAGTCACTCCATTCCTCCACCTTCATGAGAAGGCGTATTTGAAGGCAGTACAAAGAACGAAAGTGCATTCCCGCAAAGAAGACTGCCACCTCTATGTGCGCGAACGCGGCTGCAAACGACGCCCGTCCTCTGGCCCTAAATCGCTCGGCTCCTTCTCCTTAATACCTCGCTGAGAATGACACTGCTGTTAGGGACTCTGTCGCAAAAAGACAACCGTGAAGAAAAAGCTCTGGGCAAATGAAGTTGTCCTTCAGATTGTAAGAGTTACGGAATGCGTTTACTGCAATGCAGCTTCTGCCAACTGGTCATGTTCATATGACACCTTCGAATCTTCTGCAACTTCGAGTGAGGTCGGATGCATGGCCTATACTCAGACAAAATTCGATGGCCACGGCCCTTTTCCTATTGCATATGTTGGGAGGATGTTTTCTAGACCCATTTCAAGCGCTGCCAACAATTACAGTTGCAATGGTGAAGGAGGGAGCGGATTTTCTGGCGGCCGGATCCGTCCTCGATACATACTCGACGCAGATATCTTCTCAACTAGGAAATGTGGAAAAAGCTAAAAAGACCATCAGAAAGCGTAAACCTTCCGCTTTCCAAAACTATCTTCCCTTTCTCAGGACCTTACGACATTAGAGAGATATTGTTTTTGAAGTGGCAAAAACTAGCATGAAAATTCCAGCGTCCTCGACGCTTACTCGACGAAATTTGAGAGAACCTATCTTTCTGCATGGAAGCCTTTCAGAGCAATTTCAATCCTTCTTGGAAACGCAAAATCCAACTCTGTCTAACCCTACCGCAAACCGCTTCAAAGGTTTTGAAATGGAGGAATGCAACCTTTTCATCGAGGGTGTAGATTTCGACGGGTTTTTTCGGAATTTCAGCAAATCTGACCCAATGACAATCGCACCGCAGCGGCCGTTGAATCGGCCGTTGGTTGATACACTCGGCTGTTTCGATATACCCAAGCAGGAAATAAGATTTAATCTCATCCCGTGCCTTCAGGACTTCTGTGCATTTCTGAACGAACCCGACTTTGAGGCAGGGTCAACCCTATTTTGCTACAAGTAGCAACGGGGGGTCGTTCTTGGATGGACCCGGAGGGTGGGGGGTCGTACTCTCTCGGTGGCCGGCAGTAGGATTTGTGGTAATCTCCCTACTGATCATAACCATGTTTCAGGAAGAGCATGAGGAAGGAAGACTTGCAGAAACAGCAGCTGCAATACATGTAGCATCGTTCAAAGAAGTACCCCCACCATGACATGGGTCTTCCCACGAAACCACATTTGAAACTAAGGTGTAGCTGGAGTATTGCCTAAGACAACATAGACAATAGTCACCACATTACGTTTACGTAAGATAATTGATGCTAGAGCATCTGTAAGCCGCTTCCTTCTATTAGGTACCGGATATCTTAATGTCGTTTTTCTGAGTTCAGGAAGTTTCGGGGTCGATTACCATGGAAAATCAATTTCTCAGAGCGTTCTCTTTGCTTATTAATACTATGTAATATGTTGCTTATTGGTATCTATTGTTACTTTACAATTTACCTCTCCCCCAATTTTTATACCTTTTTCTGAAAATTCCTGGGTTCATTGCGCAAATTCGTATGTGTGTACCAAATGCCATCAAAGTCGGGCTGGGAGCTACAGATCCGCTAACCAAACTAACATTGCTTTTGTTAGAGCGAATACTACCGTTTGGGATGCTCACCGGTTCTCTTCAGTTCTCTTAAAAGACAGTGAACTTTTTGAAAGGATGCCCGCAATCTCATCACAAAAGGTGGCCCTAGTTAAATCAGTCGAGATGGGGCTGCACCAGTCTTGTGGCTGAAAATGGTCGGCACTTCAGTAGTGATTGATCGTTGATGCACAAACTCTTAACAAAGTTGAGTGCACAAGAAGTTCTAATAAATGTGCTTCACCTGCCTCTCACCGCGCGCCTCAAAAAGAGCACAAGGGTGCGTTTTTGACCCTATGTGCAAAAAAGTCTCCGTAAAACTGCCCACTTGGGCTGAGAGTCATAATTTTTCTGTCGTGCAATGCAGACCCTACCGCTAACCAGCTGTATACTTACTTTGCTCAGGCCTTACTGTTTAGCAAGTAAGAGGGATGATTTATCAAAGGATGTCAAACCGACCTGCCTCTCACTTTTAACTCAAAAAATTCCGGAGCTTGTATCGTGCAAGGTTTCCACTCAAAATGTTAGATGAGGGGGATCCTAGTAGGTCATTTTATGCATTGAACTAATTCGCTCCCCGGTTTTGAACTGAAATATTGCTGCGCCAAACTCTGGGTGAAAAAACGACATTAAGATATCCGGTACCTAATAGATGAGCTTTCAAATGATGTCAGCGAATCCAGGAGTGCGACCGAGGCGTGGCGCCACACCAACGGCAGGGGGCAAATCAGTGCAAGCGCATGCACAAAGCTTCAGCACATCTATGGTCAGCAGCGTATCTTTTCCCTGGACGTTGCTGCAAGTGAAACCAAAAAAAAACCCGCCTTCTTAAGAGAATGGCCTCGAGAATGCCCCTCAAAAGAATGTAGCACACGGAACATAATTCTTGAATTACTCACTTTTAAGAATCGTTTAGGTATACTTTTGAAAAGCTTGAATCCGTATTCTTCAAACCCGGTTCAGCTTCCCCCAATTGAATGATTTAAGCTTAAAGGAAGTTATGGTAGTTTGAAGGTTGAAAAGTCGCGGTTTCAGAAAAATAGTTCCGCGAACCCCGCCTAAAAGTTAGCAAACGGAACTAATTTTTTAAATTACTCCTTTTCAAGAAACCGTTCGGCGTAAATTTTACAAAGCTTGAATCCTGGCAGTTTCTCGATTATCGCGGTTCAGACTTCCCAAATAAAATGAGTTTTGAAGGAAGTTATTGGTCGTTTAAATAATTGAAAAGTAGCGGTGGCACCAGATAAAAAGTGTCCAACACACGTGTTAATTTTGACTAAATTAGCTATTCGAATGACTGTCTCAGATATGATTGTAGAAGACAATATTTGATTTTTTTTATATCAAAATCTTCCGACACAAAAGATCGTCGAATATGAGAAAAGTTATAGCCCCGAAAAGAGGAAGTTTAGAATTGTGTGCACGCATTTCCTGCTTCATAAACTAATACTGCTCAATAACTTAATTATTTCAGACTGTTTAAGAACAAATCCGCTCCACTTGAGAAGGATGACCCTTGCTGATCCGAAATCCACCTCCGTCTTGCGAGAAAACTGAAATTTTCCAAGCAAAAGTTCCTATACCTCTCGATTTCCCATTTCGACACCTGCTCCCATCCAACGAACGCGCCCCATTACAGCGCTCAGCGCGCGAATCAATACATTCGAAACCTGTCAACACGCGTTTCCACTACCTTCTCGGCATTCTCAATCATTTCCCCCATTTCTCCATAATATGACGCCACAACCCACCCGTTTTCTCCAGGGGAGAATGCTTAATGACGTACTCTGAATCTCCTATGAAAACTCACCAGTAGGATTTTGGGCACAATGTGGCTGGGGGAGGGCACACTCTGAAGAAACGTCTCTGGGACTAAGCTTGCGCATTTTGTTTAGTCCTGATCTCGTGAAGTTTGAAATTTTCTATTATTTTATACTTTTCCAGGGTGAAAAGAAACCTTATGATAGAGATAAAAGAAATAAAAAATTGGTATGAATTGTGTCTTCATAAAAATTAGACACAGGGGGGTCGTACCAAATCGCCCATGGAGGAGGGGGTCGTAAAAAAATCCAAAATGTAGCAACGATAGGACCGACCTGCTCCCAGACCGGGTGTGCGTCAAATGGCGCGATCCCATTGGCATTGGAGCGCACAGGCCGCATTTGGCACATCCTGTTGTAGCGGGACAACTCGTCCGCATCACTAAACTATTAGACTTACGTCGTCTATACTCGTCCGCGCAATACATTTTATTCCGTTCCTCTAGCCTTGGCATTCGGCCAGCTGAAGCTATCCGCCCTTTTTGTATATTTGTGACTCAACGAGGTATTGGAGACCCAAATTATCAGGTCGATCAATTACTGAAGCCTAATATAATAGTTGAGTGATTCGGACGAGTTGTCCTGCCACAGTAGGATGGAGCAATTGCGGTATGTGCGCTCTAATGCTAATGTGATCGCGCCATATGACCGCCTCCCCTCCCAGACCTATTCGTACTAATATTCCAAGGTAGTTTCAGTATTTTCACGTGGTTCAAATACCTATTGGCTTCCTTTATTTGTAGCTTGCTCAATTTGCAATGCAAGCAAAAAAACTGCAAAAGCATGAATTTGAAAGCTGCAATCACCCGAAACTTGAAAAGGCTCATGCGCTCAAAAAA